TATATATATATATATATATATATATATATATATTTAATTGCACTCGAGTTGTTCCTATATAAATATTGTTTACTAATAAAAGATAAAATTTGTCTTATATGATATATGATTTTATATCATATAGTCAATTAATTAAGTTAACATTTATCTAAGCAGTATAAGCGAATATATATAAGCAGTAAGCAAATAAACGTTAACTTAATTAATTGATTGTAAGTTAACACTCACCAACATCCAAACTTTGAGATGTGTTCCCATTTATGCTCTCTCGTTTAGTCTTAACTGTACCAGAAGATGACACCTTACTAGGTTTCGATGTATCCTCATCCTCACATATTACTTCCCACTTAACATTAACAGCATCATTATCCACTCGCAATAAACGTTTAACTTCCTTCTCGATCTCTGGTGCCTCTACGTATTTCTTCTTCAAAGTTTTTCTAAACCTTCTACGTCTCACATTTTTAGTGGGTGGAGTTATACCATGAGGCCAAAGAAATTTTTTATCGACCTTGTTCGGATCCTTTTTTTTCTGTTTAACAGGAGACTCTTCATCGGTAGCAGTGTGATCTTCCTCTTCTTTACATATTAGCATCTAAATAAACATTACAAGAAAATAATGTAATATAAAGTTATCATTTCCTATATTATTTACGATATTCTTCTGGTTTTACCTGGCATATATCGGCAGTCTTATAAAAACTTTTGTTATCGATGGTTTTTAAGGATTCCACTATTGTTGGCAGGTCCACAACCTAAGCGAAAGTTTATCAAATACATAAGTCCACTTTCGTGAGCGATTTTTCCACAGTAATATAGGATGAATAATGTGAGATAGGGAAAATTACCTTAGCATGGAGTAACCAGTGATCAAGCCTAACCTCACCGTAACGCATATCATTCTCCAGTTTTATAGTCAGTCTGTCTTTTAAAGGTAAACTATTACGTAACGCCTCCTTCAGTACTCTCGAGGGTTCCTTAAAAAGAGAATTAATATTCAATATGATATATCAAAATTGATATATAATCTCTGATTCTTAATTCATCTAAATAATCTCGGACTAGGTTAAGTTCAGATTGAATGAAAGAGCAATATGAGAAACATACCGGTGGTAATCGCATAATAAATTGACTCTCCAGTTCCACCTGTGCATCATTGCGATATTTGTCAAGATTCAGATGACGGTTCATTTTCTTCGAGTTTTATGCGAATTAAAAAGCGATTTAAATAATAAACGAAAACAAAAACGAAGTAAGGAACGTTTATCAAATGGACAGGCGACAGAACTAGCACCATCCACCAGTTGCAATGGCACTAAATGCATCCAGAAGCATGATTGCTCACTGAGCGCTCAGTGGCGCTCTTGCATTTGATTGGCATATTCCATTAGATCTAAAAATATAGAACCAAATAGGTACAAAAGCTCACTTCTGCGCTTCTGAGAAAAGAGCACTTCTGAATACACCCATTCCTAAACTTTTGAAAAGTTTCTAGATGTCGATAATAGTCGCATTTATGAATTGATTTACAGATAGACGGAAGAAAAAAATCAATAATATGAAAATAAATAATAATTAAATTAATCAAAATAAGAATCGAAACAAAATTCTATTAAAAATTTTTATTTATCATATAATATAAAAAACATTTATAAAATTAGAATACGTGTAAGTATAAAAATTAATAAGAATTCTGTAAATTATAAATGCGTTTAAAATTGTATGCATTATGCACAAAATTTTATATAATGTTTAAAAATTGTACAAATAAAAGTATAAAAAATTAACATTATATAAATTCATAAATTATATATTTAAAGATCTGTATGATATTATTAATATAATTAATTATAATAACTATATATAATTATTACAATTACACTTTTTTTTTTTCAAATTTGTTATTTCTGAAACTTTCATTAATGATATACCTGTATAAATAATTTATATCACGATTATATTATTATTCAAAATATTACAAGAAATATACAATTTTTAATTAATATTTATTGCACACTCATAAAGTGTGTTTCACACATGAGTGCACACAAGTGGTACACATGATCATTTTATCCATGTTATTCACCGAATATTAAAGAAAGATAAAATGATACGTACGTAACGCAGCCAGTAGTAATATTAAAACGGTTTAGCACACCACACACACACACACACACACACACACACACACACACACACACAC